AAATGTACCAATTTTTATGTATAAAATGTAGCCAAATTTTATTATATAAATGTACTCATTTTATAAAAAATAAAAAATAAAAAATAAATCACCTTTTTTTATAATCTAGAATGCACCCAAAAACAATTATTATTATTATTATTTTTTTTTTATCAAAACCCATAAGCAATTTTGAATAATTAAATTGGTAGTGTAAATGAAAGCCAAAAAACATAAAAAACGGTTGAGTCTTTATTGGTATTATTGCATCTCTTTTATTATTATGTCATTTATATAGCAAGAGAGGGACTTCAATCAAAAATATAAAATGCATAAGGTTTGAATCTATAGCTGTTAGGGACTAGTGACCGCAACTAAACTATCCTTTTTTTTGGGGTATCTTACAAAACCTTGAGCATTCCAATATTTTCATAACATTTTGATATTGTTGAGAATTAACCAAAGACTGGGATGCAAGTGACACTAAATCTCCAATCCTAAAGTTGAGTCAATTTGCCTGAAAACTTGTATATAATTAAGTGTTAATTCAAATATTCAGTGAATTAGAGATGTTTTGACTTACGTTTAGATTTACCAACAAAAAAAAAATTAAAACGGAATTTTCTTTTTTTCTAATTCTCCCATACATTGGAAACGGCATTAGAAGAAATTATCAGACATGAAGGATATTATCCTTAATGATCTTACTATTTCTATTTACTTTTTGCCAAAACTTACTATCTTACTATTTAATGAGATTTTATTTTTTAACAAACGATATTATCAACACTAAGAGGGAGAAAGTGTGCTTAACCTTACAATGGGTAAGCAATAATATGGTTCAATCGCCTCGGCGAGAGTTGAACTTAAGACTCTCACTTACAAGTGAAGAAAAATATCACTATACCGTAATAATAAGTGGCCCTCTCACCTGCAAGTGAATAAGTTTCTTTATTTAATTTTTTCATTTTTTTCTTAACACGTTGATTGTTATAAACATTGTATTTAAGTGTGATTGTGTAAATCCTATATTAGATTTGATTCTAGTTAATCTTCCCTATTAGGACTTGTATTCCTTGGAGGAGAAGGATTCTTCCCTCTCTTATTACTATAAATAAAGACAATGCGTAGGGGGAATAACATAATCCTCTACACAATCCTACAAACACATCTTTCTCCCTACTTTCTCTCTCTGTCAGATAAAAGAAGCCACAAGATGTTATCAACCTGCTCATACCGTTACGCTTAGGAATCTAACGTGGAAGTTTTCTGCATCAAACCAGTTCATCAATATCTTCACGCAATCAGGTTCTTCCAAAACAACGGTTTTTATCTTGATATTTTAAAGCCCTGATAGCATGACCATTCACCATAATGCATGACCTAAATTTATGTTTTTTGAATTTTAGATTCTACATAAACTGTGTATGCATATTATCCATAATTGTTGAATTATGTGAATTGATATTGTCATGAATTGCATCAAATATTTGCTAATGCATTAAATTATATGTTGAATATGCATTGAATTAATTTTGAAATCAAGAAAAAAAAATTGAAAAAATTTTAGGGTTTGTCAAACCCAAACCCGAGCTTACAGGCGAGCCTTTGAGCCTTGATGCACTGGAGCCCAAACCCTCCATGCTCCATTTGAGAAGACGACGTTGTTTTGGCATCACACCCACAAACCCAACGCCGCCTGCAATCGGCCATGGCCTCACCATCGTCTCTCTTGGGAAATCACGACATGTAGTCGTGTTTTTGGGACCCAACCATCGTCAGTGATGATGGGTTTCTTGAAAAATCCGATGAACATCATTGAATTTTCGAAGGATTCTTCGAATCCATATGGTTTCTCAAACCCCTTGACGTCAAAACTTAGTTTTCCGTCCAAAATTAGGGTTCCAATTGATCCCTCGTGCATTGTCTTGTTGTGACCAACTGAGGGAAGTCGCTCGAAGTGGCGTTGGAGAATTTTCCAGTTCGAATCCCACACCTAGCATTGCTGGGGTGTCATAGGTTTCTTGACCTAAGCCCTAGTGGGCCTCGAACCCTGTGGCCTGCATCACACATCACCTTTTTAGGCTTGTTGGTTACCTTTGCAACCCCAGCCTAATTCAGCAACTTATTGGGCTGAACTGAACTCTCAGCCTACTAACGACACCAGCCCGTGAAGTTATGGTGTCTCTGCACTTGTGACACATTGGATCCCAACTTTAGCAAGTGCATCTATGTTCTCGCCCGCATATAATCCCAGCCTACTGTTAAAGTATCGGTGTACCACATTGCGTAACATCAGATCAGAGCCCATATAGGCCTCTGCCTTTATCTCTGCTTCTGCAGCCTATCCTCTGTACCTAGGTCTGTAGCCTCATGCTTGTTACCCGAGCCTATCCCAACCTATTTTTGGGCCTGGGCCTCACGGCCTCAAAATACTTAGCCCATCTGTGGGCTTTGGTCCATATTTTGGGCCCCAAGTTTATTTGTCAATATTTTTTAAACCATTTGTGTGACAACCCGTCCCGAATTATTTGTACAGTAGGTGTGAAATGATGATTTTGCCTTTGGTGATTATTTGTCATTTTTGGGTGATTGTTTTGTGATTTTGTTGGTTGCATCTGGACCACACACACACACCCACATCCACATCATATTCTCCCGTGTCTCTCTCTGTCTCGAACTCCTTCTTTTTCTCTCTTTTTCTTTTCTTCTCACTTGTACGGACGGGGTTCAAAACCCTTGCAAATGTTGCAGATCGAAGTGGAAAATGGTACCTTTGTGTTAGTGAGGATCATACGAGTTCAACCATACCAATTTCAGGTAAAGAATCCTTCGATTTCATGTTGAACCAAGAATCGCTGATTTGGTCACTGTTCATGCACACGTGAATTATTGACTTTCAGGGAATTTGAAGCTTTTAGGAAGCTTAGCGAGGTCCTTAGGTAGCTTGGGGTGGTTCGTTAGGTGGAATTGGATGTTGAGATCGTGAGTTGCAAGTTTGGCCGATTTTTCTTGAATTTCTCTGACGACATCTCGTGATCTTTGGGACTTTAAAGAGGTAAGGAAATGTTCTACAAGTTAAGAGCTTCAATTTGGTACTGGTTTCATGAAATTTGGTGAAGAAACGAGTGAGATATTAAGATTTGAAAAATTTCCAGTTTTTCAGCGATGGCAACGGTATCGGAGGAATGCCGAAGAAGACAAGGGAATATTCCGTTAAGTTAACGGAATATTCTTAACGGCGTTAGGTTAGTTTTAACGGAATCTGTTAGTTTTCACGAAATATTCCTTAACGGCGATTAGGAAATCCGTCAGTTTTGGCTCCGCGTGGGATTTCTAGGGCCATGCCTTCACCGGCGCATAGAGCCTCGAAAAATTATTTTAAAAATATGGGCTTGTTCGTGAGGTTGCGTGGATCACGTTGATGTATTCACCCACCCCATTTGAGCATTGTATAAGAAGTTATTACCTAGTTTTGGTTATGTTCTTTAAATTGACGATTTTATAGTTGTTTCGCATATAGGTGAGACCCATCCTGAGGACAAGCGCAATCACTCGAGGCAAGAGGGTTACGACCCTTCCACATACCAGTGAGTGGGCTTTTGGTTTTCCGTATATACCTATATACTTATGGTTTTTCCTAGAAAATGATATGGAATGTTTATATGTTTTAAATGCCATGCATAGCGTTTGCCTATTTATTTATGCATTAGTAGTTGCATATATGTATGTTTGGTGCTGCGGATGCACAAGTAAGTTTATGGTTTATAATTGTGAATTAGTGGTTATGTGAGATGCATAAAGAGCTCATAACCTGCACCCCTGGTGTTAGTGCTCCCCCCCCAGAGTAGGGCACGGTCCTTCACGTGATGTTCACCTCCCTCACCACACGCTCATCTTGGATCCAAGTTAGGTGCACAATCCTATTGTACAAACCACTTTAGGTGGTTCTGACTCGTAGGTGACCCGCAATTATTCGCCCAGCATTCACGTGATCATAGCACTTGAGCGTATTTATTTACACCCAGTCCTGTTGTACAGACCACTTTAGGTGGTTCCGACTCGTGTGCAGGTATAGTTAGTGAGTTGGGGATGTGAGCTCTAGATTCAGCTGTACAGGTCATGTTAGGTGACTCCGGCTGACATGTTACTTGCATTGATTGACATTACCTGGGTTACTTACATTTTATGTGGAGGCATTCGACATGGCATATTTCTGAATATGGTTTCGATATTTGTGTATATTCTATTTTCTAGGAAACTATACAGGTTTTACGGCGAGGGGTTAGAACTTTTGATAATGAAATGATTTTGAAAAGCTTTGTTTTTGCCCACTCACACTTTCTGTTTTGTGCCCCTCCAGGTTGTAGTTAGAAGCAACTTTGGTGGTTCATAAGGACTTGTCGGTGGTTCTAACAGAACATCACCAATGTAGGATCACCTTTGGGTGTTGTGTAATTAGTATTCGTTCTTCTGGATTGCACTTAGGCTTTCTATGCTCTGATTATGTTTATCCCACTTAGTCTTACACTAGTGTGTTACTTTAATTAGTTTATTTAGTAGCTTGGTTTTTATTTATTCATACTTTTATTATTATCTTTTGCTTCCGCACTGTGCACATGGCTTCGCCACCCTCGCGTGACGGCCAACACACCTTAATTTCGGTTGGGATGTGTCAGTTTGGTATCAGAGCATAGGTTTGGTTGTCCTGCATATTTTATGAGTGCCCTAATTATTTTGGTGTCTTCTGTCAGAACTATGCGGCCTCGTAGGGAACCACGTCACTTTGCTAAGCCTAGTTTCCCCTATGTAGCTCAGTTGGTGGAAGCTATTGCTACTGCTATTCAGTCAGCGCTCCACCCTCCCCAGAGGACTCCTCTGGAGACCATGTATAATTTAAAGCTGGATAAGTTTGAGGGCCACGAGGGTTTTGAGGGTGTTGAGCGGTGGCTTGAGCATATTGCAAAACTTTTCGAGTGTTGCATAATCAGGGTAATCTTCATGTTGAAAGGTGGGTAGAGATGACTTCATGGTTCTTGGGTAAGGAATCGTCATCCTGGTGGGGACAGGAGGTTCGTTGTTTGACCCTAGAGGAAAGGGCTGATTGGGAAGTGTTTAAGCAGTTGTTTAGGAAAATGTTTGGGCCCCCTGAGTACATTAATCGTAAGAAGCAAGAATTTACTGAATTGAGGCAAGGGAAGTTAACGGCGAATGAATATTATGGGAGGTTCATTGATTTATCTCATTATTATCTGGAGGTTGCTGCTAATCCGATAGAGATGCTTCGTCGTTTTCGATTGGGTACTAAGAAGAAGTGGTGTTCTATGACGACCACTACTTCTTGTGACTCTTATCAGGAGTTCTATGAGATTCTGTTAAGGATTGAGGATTCTGAGAATATGCCTAGCGAGAGTGAGGAAGAAGAAAAAGATGGCAATAAAAGGAAAGACGATAAAGACAAAGGTCAAGCATCTCAAGGACTTCGCAAGACCCAGAGTTTTAAGCGGAGTGGAGCCAGTTCCAGTTCTTCCAACGGATGTTTTAGTGCCACTGGTCAATGAAGAAGTGGTAGATTTTCTAGGGGTCTTAGAGGCTAGAGACAGGGCAATACTGGTAGAGGAAGGGCTCCGTTTTGCCATAGGTGTAACAATCGGCATTTTGGAGAATGCAGGAGAGGCAGCGGTGGATGTTTTACTTGTGGGCAAATGGGACATAGAGCTGCAAATTGTCCTCAAAATCAGCGGAGGCCCCAGCAGTCTTTCTTACCACAACTTGCGCCAATCCAGCAGGTTCTAAGGCCTGGTAGTTATGGTCAGATAGGTCGTGGTGGTGCCTACTATTACCAGGGTGATGTCGTTCCTTTTGCTCCAGGGCAGTATCCGTATCCCCATGATCCTTATTCTCACAGTGGGTATCCTCAGTACTGCGGAAGTTATATGCCGTATCCTTCCATTCCAATGGGTGGATCTCAGTGGTACCAGGGAGGACAGCCTCAGCAGAGAGAGATTGCTACTAGTAGTGCGAGATCTTCAAGGCAGTCTGGTCAGCCTAGTCAGGGCGTAATGTGCAGGGTCGAGGTAGTCAGACTAGTAGAGGTCGTGGTGAACGACAATAGACCTAGGGCGCATCCACAATATTTCTCTGCAAAATGCTCAGAATAATCCAGACTTAATCATGGGTATGTTAAATATCCTTAGTTATTTTGCTAGAGTATTGATTGATTGTGGTGCGACACATTCTGTTATTTCTCATACATTTGCTCAAGTGACGTAACCTCACCCTAAACCTCTAGGGTATGATTTAGAGTTTGCTATGCCTAGAGGGGAGAGATGTTATGTTGATTGTGTGTATCCAGGATGTCCAGTGATGGTGGAGGATGTAGTTATGCCAACTAACCTTATCCTGTTAGATATTGTTGATTTTGATGTGATTTTGGGCATAAATTGGTTGCATTTTAATCGTGCCAATAGTGATTACTACAGGAAAATAGTTACCTTCCATCATCCTGGATTACCTGTGGTTACTTTTGTGGGTGAGCAGAGTGGGGTGAGACATGGCGTTATTTCTGCTATGCGAGCAAAAAGGTTGTTATCAAAAGGTTGCTAGGGATACTTAGCTCATGTAGTGTTGAATGATGTTGCTCCTAGTAGCGTGGAGGACATAAGGGTAGTCAGGCATTTTCTTGTTGTTTTCCCTGACGATTTACCTGGATTGCTGCCAGACCAAGATGTGGAGCTTACCATTGATTTGCTTCTAGGTACTAATCCTATATCCTTAACTCCTTATCGATTGGCTCTTACTAAGTTGAGGGAATTGAAAATCCAATTGCAGGAATTAGTGGATAAAGGTTTTATTCAGCTTAGTACTTCACCCTGGGGAGCTCCAGTGTTGTTTGTGAGGAAGAAAGACGGAACTTTGAGACTATGCATTGATTACCGGCAATTGAATCGGGTAACAATTAAAAATCGTTATCCATTGCCGCATATAGATGATTTGTTTGATCAGCTTTGAGGTGCTTGTGTATTTTCCAAGATTGATTTGAGGTCTGGTTATTACCAGTTGAAGATCAGTAATGAGGATATCCCTAAGATAGCTTTCAGGACTCGTTATGGTCATTACGAGTTTCTGGTGATGTCATTTGAATTAACGATTACACCAGAAGCTTTTATGGATTTGATGAACCGAGTATTCTAGCCGTATTTGGATAGGTTTGTCATTGTCTTTATCGACAATATCCTAGTATACTCTAAGTCTAAATCTGAGCATGTTCGACATCTTACTTTGGTGTTGAAGAGGTTGAGAGAACACCAACTATATGCTAAGTTTAGCAAGTGCCAATTTTGGTTAGATCAAGTGGCATTTTTGGGACACGTCATATCTGCTCAAGGTATTTTGGTGGATCCTCAAAAGGTAGCAGTAGTGGAGAAGTGGGAGCAACCACGGACCGTCACTGAGGTGAGGAGTTTTCTTAGCTTAGTAGGATATTACCGACAGTTTGTAAAGGATTTTTTCAGTGATTGCTTTACCACTGACGAGGTTAACGAGGGAGGATGTTAAATTTGAGTAGGATGATAAATGTGAGCAAAGTGTCTAGCAATTAAAGTATTGTCTCACCCATGCACCTGTTTTGGCACTCCCGGATGATAGTGGTAATTTCGAAGTCTACATTGATGCTTTCTTAAATGGTTTGGGATGTGTGCTGATGCAACATGGTAAGGTGATTGCTTATGCTTCACGACAATTAAAGCCTCATGAGTTGAATTACCCTACTCATGATTTAGAGTTAGCAACCATTATCTTTGCTTTGAAGATGTGCAGACATTATCTTTATGGAGAAAAATGTAAGATCTTTATAGATCATAAGAGTCTTCAATATCTTTTCACTCAGAGGGATCTTAATATTCGTCAGCGGAGATGGTTGGAACTATTTAGTGATTATGATTGCACGATTGATTATCACCCTGTTCGTGCGAATGTGGTAGCTGATGCACTAGCTGAAAATCTCAGGGCCGTATTAACGTGTTGTATGCTAGCTGTGTTCCTCTTCTGGCAGACTTGAGGTTAACTGGAGTGAGGGTAGAGGTAGAAGATCAGGAGGTAGCCTTACTTGCTAATTTTCAAGTTAGGCCGATTTTAATTGATCGTGCACTTGAAGCCCAGATGGTTGATGAAGAGACCTAAGAAATAATTCAAGCAAGGAATTAAGGGAAAAACAAAGACTTCAGAGTTCGAGAATCGGATGACATGCTTATGCAAGAGAGTAGAATGTATGTGCCAAATAATTTGGAATTAAAGAAAGCAATTCTTGATGAAGCGCATATCTCAACTTATGCAATGCATCCAGGAGGTACTAAAATGTATCATATCATTTGACCATTCTATTATTGGCCGGGTATGAAAAGAGAGATAGCTGAGTATGTGAGTAGGTGTGCCATTTGCCAATAGGTTAAAGCTGAAAGGAAGAAGCCGTTTGGGTTGTTGCAGCCGCTTCCCGTTCCAGAGTGGAAATGGGAAAATATTACTATGGATTTTGTGTACAAGCTTCCGCGTGCATATAATGGTTTTGATGGCATTTGGGTAATAGTTGATTGGCTTACTAAGTTAGCGCATTTTATTCCAGTGAAGGAAAAGTATTCTTTAGGCTGATTAGCTGAATTATTCATATCGAAGATTGTGAAGTACCATGGTGTTCCAGTGAGTATTGTTTCGAATCGTGACCCAAGATTTACTTCCAAATTTTGGTTGGCTTTTCAGAAAGCTTTGGGTACGAGATTACTCTACAATACAGCATATCATCCTCAGACGGACGAACAATCAGAGAGGACCATTCAGATGTTGGAGGATATGTTGAGATCTTCAGTGTTGTAGTTTGGCGATGCATGGCACAAGCGGTTGGATTTAATGGAATTTTCCTACAGCAACAACTTTCATTCGAGTTTAGGCATGTTACATTTGAGGCACTATATGGTAAATCTTGTCATACACCCTTATGTTAGTCTGAGGTCGGAGAAAGAGTTTTGGTAGGCCCCGAGATTGTAGATGAGACTACTCAGAATGTTCAAGTAATTAAGTCTAACCTGAAAGCGACCCATGATCGACAAAAGAGCTTAGCGGACAGGCATGCCACTGATAGGGTGTATAAAGTTGGTGATTGGGTGTTTCTGAAGCTCTCACCGTGAGAGGTGTTATGCGGTTTGGAAAGAAAGGTAAGTTAAGTCCTAGGTATATCGGACCATATTTGATCACCGAGTGAGTTGGTGAAGTGGCTTACAGGCTTGAGTTACCTTCTAAGCTGGTTAGAATACATAATGTTTTCCATGTGTCCATGCTTCGTCATTACGTTGCAGATCCATTGCATGTGATACCTCCTCAACCATTGGAAATAAATCCGAATTTAACATATGACGAGGAACCAGTAACGATTCTGGATTAGAAGGAAAAGGTTCTAAGGAACAAGACCGTGAGTTTAGTGAAAGTTTTGTGAAGGAATCACTCCGCGAAGGAAGCTACTTGGGAAACGGAAGATCGGATGAGAGATTTGTATGCTCGGTTGTTCTACGATTACTAGTGGGTAGTTAAGTTGTTGTTAGGAATTTCGGGATGAAATTTTTTAAGGTAGGTAGGTTGTGATAGCCCGTCCCGAATTATTTGTACCGTAGGTGTGAAATGACGATTTTGCCCTTAGTGGTTATTTGTCATTTTGGGGTGATTGTGTTGTGATTTTGTTGGTTGCATCTGGACCACTCACATACACCCACATCCACATCATCTTCTCTCATGTCTCTCTCTATCTCGAACTCCCTATTTTTCTCTCTCTTTTCTTCTCACTTGTACGGACGGGGTTCAAAACCCTTGCAAACGTTGCAGATCAAAGTGGAAAATGGTACCTTTGTGTTCGTGAAGATCATACGAGTTCAACCATACCAATTTCAGGTAAGGAATCCTTCGATTTCACGTCAAACCAGGAATCGCCGATTTGATCACTGTTCATGCACACGTGAATTATTGACTTTTAGGGAATTTGAAGCTTTTAAGAAGCTTAGTGAGGTCCTTAGAAAGCTCGGGGTGGTTCATTGGGTGGAATTGGACGTCGGGATCGTGAGTTGCAAGTTTGGCTGATTTTTCTTGAATTTCTCTGACGACATCTTGTGATCTTTGGGACTTTAAACAGATAAGGAAATGTTTTACAAGTTAAGAACTATTGGTACTGGTTTCATGAAATTTGGTGAAGAAACGAGTGAGATATTAAGATTTGAAAATTTTCCAGTTTTTTGGCGACGGCGACGGTACCGGATGAGTGCTGGAGAAAACAAAGGAATATTTCGTTAAGTTAACAGAATATTCTTAACGGCGTCAGGTTAGTTTTAACAGAATATGTTAGTTTTCACGGAATATTCCCTAACGGCGGTTAGGGAATCTGTCAGTTTTGGTTCCGCGTGGGAGTGTGTAGGGTCGTGCCCTCACCAGCACGTAGAGCCTCGAAAAATTATTTTAAAAATATGGGCTTGTTCGTGAGGTTGCGTGGATCACGTTGATGTATTCACCCACCCCATTTGAGCAT